AAATTTTGAAAATGACATCCATTTTATGTTAACGCCACTGTGTTTTGACTTATTTAAGTTTTTAGAATTTATCCAATATAAAGGTCTACTTTTATGTTTCTGGAACCGTAGATTTTGAAAACGACCTCCATTTTAAGATTAGGCCACCGCTCTTCGACTTATTTAAGTTTTTCGGATTTTTTTTCATATGACGATGTATTCTTATGTTTCCGGAACCATATATTTTGAAAATGGCCTCCATTTTAAGTTTACGCCACTGCGTTTCGACTTATTTAAGTTTTTTTGATTTATTCGATGTAAGAATGTATTCTTATGTTTCCGTAGCTGTAGATTTTGTAAATCATCTTTATTTTCTTAATTACGCCGCTGCGTTTTGACTTATTTAAGTTTTTCGAATTTATCCAATATAAAGGTCTACTTTTATGTTTCTTGAGCAGTAGATTTTGAAAATGGCCTCCATTTTATGATTACTCCTCTGCGTGTTAACTTATTTAAGTTTTTCGAATTTATCCAATTTAAAAGTCTACTTTTATGTTTTCAGAACCGTAGATTTTGAAAATCATCTCCATTTTTTTAATTACGCCGCTGCGTTTTGACTTATTTAAGTTTTTAGAATTTATCCAATATAAAGGTCTACTTTTATGTTTCCAGAGCCGAAGATTATGAAAATGACCTCCATTTTAAGATTAGGCCACCCCTCTTCGACTTATTTAAGTTTTTCAGATTTTTTTCATATGAGGATGTATTCTTATGTTTCCGGAACCGTATATTTTGAAAATCATCTCCATTTTTTTAATTACACTGCTGCGTTTTGACTTATTTAAGTTTTTCGAATTTATAAAATATAAAGGTCTACTTTTATGTTTCTTGAGCAGTAGATCTTGAAAATGACCTCTATTTTATGATTACGCCACTGCGTTTCTACTTATTTAAGTTTTTCGAATTTATCAAATATAAAGGTCTACTTTTATGTTTCTGAAGCAGTAGATTTCCCCCATTCTGTAAATGACCCCATTTCAAGTTTATGCCACTGCGTTTTGGATTATAATTTTTTTTTTTTACTATTTCGGTATAAAGATCTACTTACATGTTATCGGAGATGTATTAATTTTTCTAATATTTAATATTTAAATTGATCTAATATTTAATCTCCATTTTATAATTAAGACGCTGCATCTCGATTAATTAGGCTTCATTTTGGATTTTTTCAATACAAAGTTTCATCAATATGTTTTCGAATATGAATAAATAAATAAATATTATGAAGCTAAAGTTAAACTAACCACAGAATACAAACAAAAAAGCCGAAAAGCAACTGGTAATAAATTTAACCTTCCGTATTCAGATATTTCAGATAATTGTTCGAAATCTTATAATTTTGTTACAGGAGAACACAACATTAAAAAGATAACTAAAATTAAATTTAAAATGAGACAATACATATTTTATTTATTTCGATGAGATATTTTTATTTATTTATTGAAAAATAAATTAATCCTTCGTATTTTGTTTTTTATTCGAAGGAAAAATCAAAAACACTTAAAAAACCGAAACACAGTGGCCTAATCTTAAAATGTAAGTAGTTTTAAAATCTAAGGCTCCGGCATCATAAAAGTAGACTTTTAAAGTAGACAAATTCGAAAAACTTGAATAAGTCGAAACGCACTGGCGTAATCTTAAAATGGAGGTGATTTTCAAAATCTACGACTCCGGAAACATAATAATACACTCTTTTATGATAAAAATTCGAAACACTTAAAGAAATTGAAACGCGGTGACCTAATCTTAAAATGGAGGTCGTTTTCAAAACCTACGGCTCCGGGAACATAAGAATACCACCTTTTCTGAAATAAATTCAAAACACTTAAAGAAATCGAAAAGCGGTGGCCTAATCATAAAATGGTGGGCGTTTTCAAAAACTACGGCTCCGGAAACATGAAAGTAGACCTTTATATTGGACAAATTCAAAAAACTTAAATAAGTCAAAACGCTGTGGCCTGATCATAAAATGGAGCTTATTTTCATAATTTGCGGCTCGGAAAACATAAGAATACACCCTTGTGTCGAATAAATAAAAAAAAACTTAAATAAGTCGAAACGCAGTGGCGTAATCTTAAAATGGAGATTATTTAAAAACTAGGTACAGGACTGCGTAATACTAGTCCCTAATAAATCCGAATAGGTACAATAAATCGATATTCATAAGTGAAAATTCTACTTAGGAGAGCATAATAATAAACTTTCATATTGGAAGGGGGGGGGGGAGAGGATGGCCATCATTTTAAAAAATATATAAAATTTACAAAAAATTAAAACATTAATTTGAAATGAAAACGGTTGAAATTGAATTGGAAAGGGTTTAATTTGAAATGGAAATGGTGGAATTTGACTTGGAAAAAGTTTAATTTTATCTGGAAAAGATTGAATTTGACTTGGAAATAATTGAATATGACATAGAAATATTACACTGAAAAAATCTAAAATGTATAAATGGATATGCAACCGCGTTATCATTTTTTTTTTTCTATTTTTCAAAAACTATGCCTTCGATAATATGCCTTCATTTCAAAAAATTTCGAAATTTACAAAAATTCGAAAGTTGAATTTGAAATGGAAAAGGTTGAATTTGACTTGGAAATGGTTGAATTTGAAATGGAAAAGGTTTAATTTGACTTGGAAAAGGTTGAATTTGATTTGGAAAAGGTTGAAATTGACTTGGAAATGCTATATATATAATGATGTTTGAATTGGCCTTCAAGGCCTGTTAAAAAAAATGCTTTTAGAAATAAATTTTTTATTGACACATGCTTACAGGTAGTGGCTGTAAATACACATATACATTGTATATTATCTTTTATAAATGTGTAAAAAAAATAAAATGTACCTATTAATCGTTATGTAGACAAATATTTATTCCAATAATGTCCAATCTCAATGGGACTCGTAGATCTACTAGTTAGTTGGACTATACTGTTAATTTAAAATTTATTGAATGAATTAGCAGCGTAATTATTGTTATTCGTGGTTAGTTTGCTTAGTAATTCAAAAGTGGGAACTTAATGTAGTCGTTCGTAAAAAAAAAAAATATATCGTATTTATTTTCAAGGAAGGAATTAACGTACTGGGAAAACAACTGACGAAGAATATCTCATAATTTCTAGAAAAAGAATAGTGGAAATCATCAATATGAAAAATAATATCGTGAAGTAGCATTCAGGAACATAATAATTAATGGTTTTTATCTATTACTATTTCCTTTCTACGGCTGTATAATATAGGTACAAGTTCGATTAAGGTTACATGATGTAGCCTAAATTTCGAATATAAGTCGGCTCCTGCTATAGAACTGAATATGGTTAAAGTTATAGAAGCACTTAAATGGCGAGAAAGTTAATAGTAACTGTCTCATGAGATCAGTCGTCTTCGTTCTCTATCGGATAAACCCGAACTCATTCGGCACTCGATGAAGAAGGGTATCGAAGTGATTGTGAACCACGCGTAATCCGTGCGGAACTCATTTGAACTAGTACTGAAGACCAAGACCATGATTGGTAAAAAAAGACGATTTTTTGAATAAAAATTAAGGCAAAATAATTACTAATACTTGCCAATCTTAGTTACTATTTGTAAATAATTAGTACAACCAATATAATTTTGCATTTAACTCCTCCAATTTTTCATTCAGGCTTAGTTAGGTTTCTCCTATCTAAAAATTTGTCCCAAGAGATAATTGTCCCAGAAGCCTTTTTGTGTGTATATTATTTAAACATTCTTTTTATTTCGCGATGTTTATCGCCCCAGCCCGGCAGTAATACCCAATCTTGGGTATTAAGGCACCAAAATATTGCGATAAGACTGTCGGGAAGTCAGTCTGGAGCGTTTACTTCCCTCTGAGATATTTTCTTCAACACTCTCACAGTAAGCAAAAGACATTCGTAATTACTTTTTTTCTTTCACTAAATTTATTTTTTCCTTATTATTGATTTTAACTATAGAAGTATGCTTTAGTTTTTAATGGATATTTTTTTTATTTTCACTGAATATTTTATTTATGTTTGGTTTTATTTCAGTGCCTTATAATACTTCCATTCTGTTTTGTTTTAAACATTTATATCTTTTTCCCACTATAATAAATTGTAAACGTTCAAAAGGGGGATTCTTCATTTTCATTTTCTCATTCTGAATTTGAAGAAAATCCTGAGTTATGCATGCATTAGTTATCGGCGGAAAAAAAACTTTAAGTGAATGAAGTATTTAATTTTGAAACTTTTGGTTACTATAAATATTAGTATCTAAGCGTTTCAAATGACACTAAAAACGAATCTAATTTGCGTTTTCATAACCAAAATTTATTTGGCATACATTACTGGAAGCGCCATTTAGTTTTGTAATTTATAATTACATATTATACATGTTATTTACGATAAAATTCATTTAATACAATAGTTAATTTGTTTTCTTATTCTGCATAAAGCAAAAAAAAATGCAGTTTGTATTATCATCAAGTTTTTTATAGCTAAGGAAATTTACCAATCAAAATTATAATCTTCAGAAATAAAAATTTTCATATGGACAATTTGTAATTTTATTTTGCTATAATAAACTTAAAACATAATCAACTGTTAAAGTTTCATTAATTGCAAAAGTTACTAAATTACGTACTATTAGTATTTTTGTTTCCTAGTTTAATAAACGGATCATTAACGACAAAACATTCACTCATCAGATTATGTTATTAGCTGGTAATATATATTTGTTTGTGTAATTTTGTAAGAAATAACATAATGATAAAACGTAGCAGTTGTAAATAGGGATTCATATTTAAACAAATAGAATGAATAATATTAAAATAATTATATTATAATTATTTATTATTTTATTATATAATGAATTAATTTTCATGATATTATTAATATTTTACTTTAGTTATTTTTGTTTATAGCATCAAAATCTTTGCAAAACAACGAAAGTTCAATAACCAGATTAGAATGGAAAGAAATATGTGGCAGCAATGTCCTACGGGCAGCAACCACGCCGCAGCCAGTGAAGGCCGGGGCCTTAGTAAAAAATTTGTTAGCTGCGGGAGTCGAACCCAACCAGAGACTGCTCTGCCCTCCGCAAAGCAGCAGCCCGGAGGGGGGGGGGACTGCCTTGATGCGGCTCCTGTTAATTTATGGAGCGAATGTCGCGTCCAGGACTTCACTGGGCAGCTGACGTAGGACAGTATGAATCACTTCTCCTTCTGCTGGCGGCCGGGTCCGAGATCGACGCCGAAACTGTCTTCGGATACAAACCTAAAAATGTTGCCACACATAATGGTCATCACACAATGGTGGACCTTCTGGAATTCGCAAGAAATTATTTTCCAAATTATATATTTTTATAATTTTTTAATAAACAAACCCTGTGCTATATAATTGTTATAAAGTTTTTTTAATATTTAATATTTTACCATTCCATTCAACCTTATCTGTATTGCAAATATCACCTTTACAAAAATTTAGATAATTACTTCTGTGTTGTTTTAATTTTTTTATCAATTGTGGCTATATGTTTCCATTTCATGGCTATTTGAGTTATTAATTCAATTATATATTTTTAATTTTAATGTATAATCATGCTGTAGTAATATTTAGAAATTTCCATTTTGTATCATATACTTCTAATTTCATTTTTGTTAAATGAATGCTTATATGAATTAAATTTTCTGTGAAAATTCAACGGTGTATTGCTACATTTATCCCCACTTTTGGTAATTTAAATTGTATTTAGTTACTTTCCATGGACTCTTCATAATTTAAAAAAAAGTACCGCTACAGATCCTTTTTAAGTTATAAAATTTACGAAATTTCATTTTATTTCAACTTATATTTAATATTCATGCAAATATATTTATAATATTATATTGCCTTAATTCTGTAATATAAAACGAATATGTGGTGGTATTTTTATTTTATTTTATGATATAATTGGGTGTCTTTAAAAAACAACAAATCTGCTTGGATTAAAATTGAATAATTATGGTGAAAAGGTAAGATAAAAGACAAAAATTAAAATAAACAGTTTTGTACAATGACTTAAAAAATATGAAAACAAAAAATAAAATACTAATATTAATAAAAATGCTTTTAGATAATGAAAATATACTAACAAATAAAAAGATGTATATAAATAAACAACATTATTATAGTTTGGATAAAAATATATAAAAATTATTACAAATTATCCTGCAAAGTGCAAGACCAAGATTGGCAAATTTTGGGCAGCACTACTCATTGCCGGTCTTCGTATTATTGGTACACCAATTTTAGTTCTAGCATATCTCTCTTTTTCATCATACTCAAGCTAAACTAAAATTCTTTCTCATTTTGCATCTCTCAACTTCCTATACGCCTTTTCTTAAGTCCAAAATTAAATTTTATCAAAATTAACTGATTGTGGTCTCCTCGTATGCATTATTAATTTATTAATTGTTATTACAAAGTACCTCAATGGAGGGGACCTCTTTTCCTTCATCTTGAGTTGTATGAATTCCAATTAGATGATAAAAAAAAAATACAAAACACGGAAACCAATTGTTCTTTCAATATTGGGGGGCCCGGTACATGGTGTATGACCGGAAGCCCAGTACTTGTGATATAAAAAGAAATGAAAATGTTCGATAGAGGAATACTTGTGAATGACGCTAATAATTATTTATTAATATATTTTTATTTAGGCATTCCAAGCAATGTCCCTGAAGGGGCAACATGTTTTATTGGTTTAATTAAAAAGACATACAGTTTGATGAGGGGCCGGTCTCGCGCCTGTGGTCCGCCTCCTCCCTCTCGCCGCTCATCCAATGTTTTGGAGCTGTAATTCTCCGGAGCTGTAAGATCCGAAGGGCTGTAATTCTCTCGTTAGCCGCTGGCTGTCTTCCTTTAAGTCAGCTGAGCAAATCTGAGAAAGATTACTTACTATAAATGGTCCTGCAGCTTGGAAATGAGTTCTCTAAGAAAAAAAAGATCAGAATAATTTCCGATTCCAATCAAATGAGAGACCAAATAATTAGTACCTTTCTTCATGAAAACGTTCCCAACAGCAGCTAGAGAGAAATACTTTATTAAAAGTAATGCTGCCCTACTACATAGGGTTGCTTCGTACACAGCATACCTATCAATCCACAAGGACATTAATTTTATATTTCATTTTTCTATTTTTTATACATATATATGTCATATCTTTCCTTTCTTTCTCTCTTTTTCCTCTTTCCCCTCATAACAATAACCTTACAAGTTATCAACAATAAAACCCTATTAAATAATATACATACATTAAATAATATAAACATTTTTCCAAGACAAAAAAAAAAAAAAATTATTTCCCTGTTTCTCTCTTTAAATTTTCAAACGCCAGGAACTCATTACAACATCGCACACATACATAACACAGCAATTCCCAGAATGTAGACAAAAAGACAGGACGACAGCGGATGAATTCAAAATTTAATAAACAGTTATTACCAGATGTCCTCAATCGGTATAAATATGATAGTGGATGATTCCCAGGGAGTCCAAAATAATATTTTCGGCCAATACCGCTAGCTCCCCAACATCAACACCTAGTTCTTCGAGAAAGCTCCTTGTTCTTTCCGGGATCGTTCCGCGAGACCCAAACCAGAGGCCTCTCACGGTGAACTCTCTCTCTCCGAAGGTCTCGCGGAATTTCTCTTTTAGGAAAGGGATGCATTTTTCGTATATATTCCTCTTTTCCGTTTCCACTTCACCCGCCTGATCAAGGTCGTTGCTCTCAAAGCGGACAGTTGGATCTAAGATTAGAGCTGTCCTTCCTGTTCTGGGAAACGCGACAATATCCGCATATCATGTAGAGCCTTCACTGTCTATGCAATAGACCTCGTCAAAGCAGGTGAATTCCTTTTCTCTAAGGAGCCTCATCACCTCGAACTTTATCCTATGGTGCCGGCGTGTTATGAGGAGGGAATTGTTGGGGCATTTTCCCAGCACATGGGCTGATGTTTCCGACTCTCTGCCGCATTTACGACAGAGGGACCCAACTTCCTTCGACTGTCCACTGGCTTCTGGGACTCCGGGTAAAGGTGCGTAATTGATGTTTAGTTTTAAGGCGTTGGACCATTCCGACCCCGAAAGCACTTTTTTCTGGCATATGTATTTATTGGCTTTCGGGGTCTCTTTAAAGTGTCGAACTCCAACGCCTTGCCACCTGCAGCTGGCCCACTCTTCAAAAGAATTTTCTCTCAGCGACTGTCGTAGAGCTCTCACGCTTCGGTGGCTCTGATCCACTCCCAGTCTTTCCGCACATTCCGCGATTTCCGCATTATAATCAAATGTGGACTCGAACAGAGAATCCGGCACATTAGACAGCCGCTAGGCAATGGACCAATGCTGCAAAGGAGCCTCCCATTGACAGCGGATCAGTCCCAATCCACGAAACCTCCTCGGTGCATAAAACATCGCCGTTGATGCATTAGCAGGGAGCCCGATAATGGCCTTGACACTCCTGCGGATATTTGTATCGATTCCTTCCAATATCGCAGGACGTATCTTTGTGAGGGGCGCCGTCTGAAGAGGGTAAGTAAGTCCCGGGAACACGTACTGGTTTACAACGTTGATCTTCTGCTCCGGCTTAAGAAGGCAAGAGCTAACCAATTTGTCTAAGTTGTTGTTTAATTTTGTCACCATTTCCTCATTTAATACCAGCTCTCCCGAGAACGCACATCCTAAATACTTTATAGTTTCACCTGGCTTTGTTGATGCTATAACTTCTCCGTTCTCTAGGGAGAGCTTTGTTTGTTGCAGTTCTCCTTTCTCGACTATCAAGCCCACGCTTTTCTGCGGATTTATTGCTAGACCGATCTCGGCAAGGATCCTCTGCACACTATTAACAATCCTCTCTGCAGCACCCTTGTCACACGCCGTAACAGCCTGGTCATCCGCGAAGCTTGTGAGGACCACACATTCTTGGTCGCTGCTTAATTTATATCCATAGCGGTTGGCAAATTCTTGCTCACACAGGTCGCGGTACAGATGATCTATAGCCAGGTTGAACAGCGAGGGCGACAAGGGTCCGCCGTTGGGTACTCCTCGCCGCACCTTGATCCAGCTAGTCGAGTGGGCTCCGATCCCAATCTTGATTTGGTTTGACCCTAGGAGAGCCGCAATTACGTTCTTCAGGTCCGGTGACACTCCTCTTGCTTCTAGTGAGCCGATTATATGTTCGTGACCAACGTTGTCGAAAGCGCCAATGACATCCAAAAACACCACCGCGCAATCTTTCTTTTTATTCTTGGCGTCTTTTATGATTGCGTCGATAATTCTGGCGCTTACGTGTGCTCCCGGTAGGCCTCTGATGAAGCCTCTCTGATTTTTGCTGAAGGTGATCTTTTTTCTCAGTTCATGGTCCAGAACCTTCTCAATAATTCGGCGCACAATTGAATAAATGGGTATGGGTCGCCATGATGATATGCTGTTGCTATTTCCTTTACCCTTGTATACCAAGATTGTGCGCCCCTGACGTAAAGGCTGTGGTACATATGCCACCCTCAACATGATCTCCGCAATGGTCTTTATGATATATGAAACATCAAAGAATTTAATCGTGCGGACCAAAACTCCGTCCGGCCTCGGTGATGTGTCCAATGACGTAGATTTGATCGCCTTTTTTACTACTTGGACATCGATGGGTGTAAGATTTGGCGTCGGGGCGCAATTCTCGTAGTCCGCACGTTTGCAGAGATTTTCTTTCTCAAAGAGGCTTCTGAAGTGGCCTTCAATCTCGGCTACCTTCAGAGGGCATTGCTTATAGAACTTGACGGCAGGGTGCTGTGGGCCGGGCAATTCTTCGTTGATTGTTTTTAGAAAATTGCCCACTGCCTCATCGAATTCCATATTATCCACATTATTTTGCCGACCAAATTTCTGGAAGGTAGCCGACCATTTTGCTATTTGATTCTTTACTCCCTCTTCCTCATCCTCTACATTTTTTCCCCTTTCTTTATTACCAATCAAGCCGCTCATTCTAGCGTCATTTGCCTCCCTGGGATGCTTTTTAGCTATATGGGTTCTGAGACCTCTATCACCCTTGAAACTCAGCCCACAAATGGGGCATACTTTGTCATTAACCTCTGAGGAAGGGTCTTCTTTCCTCACTTTTATTTCCCCACTAGACTCTCCGGATTTCTGTGCTGTTTCATGCAAACTAG